CAGGTCTGCAATGTCCCCATACAATGTCCCCTAAAAAAAGAATTAACTGGAGCGGATATAGTGTCCCTCCATGCCTACAAGTTAGGGCTATTTAACTAAATGAGGGACCTAATGTCTTACTCGAACTCCAACCTATATGTGTTAAAAAAACAAAACAACTAAATGGGTTGCATAGTATCCCCACAAGTACCACTCATTGGTGGTGGATAGGTGCCATAACAAATAACGACTAATTGACTAACACTGGCAGAGGGTGAGAGACTTAATTATAATTGGGGACCTATTGTCCCCCCAGCACCCTCACATTGGCGGCGGGTGTGGGCCCTAAATTATAATGGGAGTGGACCTATTGCCCCTCCTATCTCCCACCCACCCATTAGTGGCATGTGAGGCCTTTCTGGGGAGTTGTTTTGCTTGTTTTTTCTCTAATATATGAAGACTTCAGACTCAGACAGATCACAATATCACTTTTTTTTAAACTGACGGACAGACTAATTGTGGACTGTTATTATTTTTTCTTTTTCTCTATTTTTTTATCAGCCTCTGTCCTTAAGGGTAACAAATATTGATCTCTTTTGTTTCACTTTTTTGTTTCTTACAATATTGTAAATAATTGGCTGTGAATCTCACTATTGGATTGTTTTAGATATATTACTATTATTATTATTATTTGGTGATTTATATAACTGCTGACACACAGTGCAATTGAGTACCACATTGAGAGGAAGAACTTATCTCAGTAAAAAAAAAGACTTACAACCTAATAAAGCTGTTTAGTAAATAATAAGTTCCTCATTTGCTTGACGCCTGTGCCATTGATGATTATTGTGCTTATAACAACAGGGGGGTTTTGTTGTTGTACTTGCAATCAGTTTAAATCTGAGAATATTTAATTACGGAAGCATTTTATAAAAACAAGCAGTTTAGTTCTACATTTAAAGAAGCTGCATGTTTGTCCAACCATCACAGTCGATACGATGGTCACAAAAAAACCCTCAAGAAAGCGAAAACGCTACTAAACTGGAAAAGAAGTGACAAAAACAAATGAAGAGACTCTCGTCCTCTCTATGAGGAAATAGGGTAGATTTAATGTAATAAATAAGAGCAGCAACAATTCAACCTGCTAAGAGGTCTTTGTCAAGCTTGACATAGACTTCTTAGCAGATTGAAACTTTGTTGCTCTTTATTGTTCCATTAAATCTGCCTGGGGCTTGAACACTTTGAGTGCCTGAAGATTTCGAAAATAAAAAATGTGATCTGGAGGATAGACCTTGAAGATCCAATTTAATATTGTGATCAAATTCCTCCTGAAAAATTAAAATAATCTTTACTAGAACTTTTTGGCAACTTGGATCTCCCAAAGGGTAGCCATGAAGTTAAATTTGAGAAATGACAAAGAATTACTTAGAATAGAAATCTGATATCTACGTATAGAATATACAGTAATTAGAGGGAGTAAGACCATATATAGAAAGCTCTAAAAACTGGAAAAATGTAGTGATTCGCTAGAAACATCATAAATAGAGTGCTTAGTACTATCAAATATTAGCAGGTATCCAGGTGCTAATTAAAAGAATGAGTAGTATTAAAAAAAAAAAAAATTATTGCAAAGTGGATAAATATGATTAAAACATAATTAAAACATATAAATTGATATCTTAAGTGTCTAGTACTAAAAATAACTGTAGGGCATGGGTGTCATTAACTCTGGAAAATGGAGCATCCCAGGGTAAATACCACCTCTTGCCAATTGCTATACTTTCAAATATGGTGAAAGATACAATAGCCAAATGTTATAAATTACTTTTATCATGCAAGTATAATACTTGCTAAAATCAAGTAAAACCAGTACTATCCACTGGTTGTTGTATGCAATATAGAAATATCGCTGAAAATCAACTGAGAGTATAAAAGATCAAATTTAGAATTAAAGATGAGTCCAGAGATACAATACCAGTCTATTAAAGGTGCATAATACAAAATAACCTTGTTCTCAGGCAAGGATGGATGTAGATGTTACTTGCGATATTAACATCCAAATTCTGATCGCCAGTGAGGACGGTGTGCGTACCACAGTGCGTTCCACCTCGAGCCTCACTTTGGGGGAACAGCGCTGCTTGTCAGAAGATGTTGTTGGAATGCCTGGGATCCAAGGTGATGTATCCAATCTTTACGCTGATACCTTGGCTGGATGTGACTCGATAGACTTGCTGTATACTGTCTGACGCGTTTCGTAGGGAACAGCCCTACTTCCTCAGAGACGTGTAAGATAACATCCATACGGGAATGTTTAAATACCCCTCAGTTGTTCAGTTTTCTCATTAATGCTCATGCACAATAAATCATATTGAGTGAGAACGTCTTTGATGATTTTGTGTTGCAGGTCAATAGAAAGTAGAATTGATACAAATTGATACCATACAAATTAACAAAATATAAATCTTTACAGAAAATTAATATAAGAAATTGATACAATCAAGGACTTAATGTTATAAAAAACTTTTCTATAATAATTTTTTTTTCATAAAATATCTAACTATTGTCATTATTTCAAGACACTGTCACTTGTTATTATAAAAGCATGTAAAAAATGGTAACGGAAAATATTCAAATATACTCAAAAATTATTTTTCATGTATATATATATATATATATATATATATTAGTTCTTCCCTTGTGGCCCTCTCATTGAAATAAGATTGGAAAATCATGCCGGTATTGCATCACAACTCCGTATGATCTGCAACTACGTTATATTTCGTTAATCTGTTCATTCTGCAGACTCAATTACATGACAAATCTATTAATATAATAATATAAAATATGAGTAAGAATGTCAAATATATATAGATAGAGAGTTGTTATTATATTTGAGAAATCGTGATTCTTAAAGCATAGTTATACAATCCCCTTGTTCTTAATTGGGACATAATTACAATAAGAGAGATACAGATACAAAATATATAATATTCAAACTTGAAGATGCATGGACTATATCCAATTTTCTGAAATGAGACAAAGGTGTTAGTTAACCGTTTACTTGATGGAACATAATAGAGAAATACTTCAAACATTAATACTAACTTATCACTATATGATAATTAGTTGAATCAACACGGATTTTGTATCAAAAGGTCTCTTATCACTATTAGTGCAGGATACTAATGTCTGCTGAATAAAATATAATATACATATAAATAAGTAAATAAATAAATAGGTATCTAGTATGAAAATTATGAAGACAAATTGCATACAGTATAACCACGTACTATTAAGATAGAAGGGAAGTTGATGAAAAAATTACATAAGAAAATAAATTAATTGTCTTAGTAATAGAAAAAAAGAAAAGGAAAAATGATCCATAAGAGATATCTATCGTAGACCTATATTGTCTATTTGATAAAAATATGCTGCCTGAAAGCTAGAAATAACAGCAGTATAAGAAGAAATGTGATATAAATAATGTGAATGTATAAAACAATTAAGGAATTAGAGTCTACCATATTGCATGGATAAACGGTTACATAAAATTCAAAAGGGAGATATCCAGAATGAAAGATAGATAACTTAATGAGATAAAATCCGTACTCGGATAGGGGTATATATTGAAGATGAGAACTATCTTAGTGCTAGAAGCCCCATAATGATCTACATATATCTAAAAAACTTAAAGAAGACCTAATCTACAGAGACTAGAAAAAGAAGCAAGGGAAAATGAGTGCTATAAAAATGCATTTAGCTTGAAATCAACATTGAGGCCATTGGGGACTAGGGTATTGAGGGAAAATAACCATTTAGCCTCAGTTTGGTCAAGATTAGTGCCTATACTTCCTCCCTTCCAATGCACATTCATTTTCTCTATAGATAAAAGGTTAGTCCTGTTGGATCAGCTCCATGCATTTCTTTAAAGTGTTTTGAAAGATTGTGGGTCATCAGGCCTTTCTTAATGTTTTGAATGTGTTCTGCAATTCTAGTTTTCAGGGGTCTTTTGGTTCGTCCAACATACTGTTTCTGGCATGGGCATGTGAAGAGGTATATCACTCCCGAAGTGTTGCAGTTTTATTCTAATCTTGTATTCTTTCGAATCGTTGAGTGATGTGAATTTGGTGTAGATTATTTCTGCTGTAGGATTATTTCTGCATCCTAAACACTTTTGACATCTTGAGAAGCCCCTCGTATTTCCTTTTCCCCTCTAGCATTTTCAAATTTAATGGTGGGAGCTAGCATTAACTTTAAATTTGGTGCTCTCGTAAAAATGATCTGTGGTTTTTCTTCAATAATTTGGGCTAAAGTTGGATCACTTCTCAATATCCCCCAATGCTTCCTGAGTATTTTCTGTATGGTCTGTGACTGATTACCATATTTGGTAATGAATGCCGGAGTGTTGTTGAATGATTGTGTTAGCCTAGTTCTCCAGTGCTTTCTCCAGTGCTTCTTCTAGGAGCGTTGCAAGGTATCCATTCAGAATGAACCTCTTCTTCATCTCCTCCATCTGCTCTCTCCATGTTTCAGATTTGGAACAGTTACGTCTAATTCTTCTAAATTGGTTTTGAGGTATGTTCTTTAACCATACAGGTCTATGATGACTATTGAAGGGGATGAAGCTGTTGCAATCCACATTCTTTTTAAAGGTCTTTGTGTGCAATACATTATCTTCTATATATGTTCAGGTCTAAACATTCAATTTTCTCTTTGGATTGTGCAAAAGTAAAATTGAGGTGGTACGGATTGTTATTCAGGTAGATTTTAAATTCCTCTAGAGATTCTTGGTTGCCTTTCCATATAAAAAAAACAGTCATCAATATATCTCCGTCACAGGAACAGTTTTGCGCCAAATGGGCAGTGGTCCCATATAAACTCATCTTCCCACTTGCCCATAAAAAGATTAGCGTAAATTGCGCAAAACGTGTTCCCTGTCTGTAGATAAAAGTGACCTTCAAGTAGTTAGGAGTTAAAATGAATGCTATACATTGAACTAAAAAAATCAATCTGGTCATTTTTTAAAACAGAGTACACTGCCAAGAGTATTGGATAGCTTCACAACCCTGCAGGTGCTCAATGACAGTGTACAGTGAAGTCACATCCGCTGTGACTAAAAACATGTCTTCTTCCCATTTAAAATCTGACAGCTGGTTGAGAATTTGGATAGAATCTTTGAGATATGATTTGAGACACACAACTAGACCTTGTAGATAATGCTCAACATATTCCGACAAGTTGGCTGTGAGGGACCCAATACCGGAAATAATTGGTCTTCCAGGTGGTTTCTGTAATTTCTTATGTATTTTGGGTAGGTGGTAAAACACCGGTACCCTTGGGAATCTCACATATTTAAATTCTCTTTCATTGATAATTCCCCTTTCTTTACCATATTCTAGTAATCCTCTCATTCTTTCCATAAATTGTAAAGTTGGGTCCTTTTCTAACATCTGATAGGTGGAAGTGTCTCCTAATAATCTCAGATTCTCTTCAACGCAGTCTTTAGTGTCGAGGATGACTACCCCACCTCCCTTATCTGCTGGCTTGATGGTAATGTCTTCTGACTCCATCAGTTCTTTTTTTTTAATTCAATGTTTTTATTGACAAGATTTTCAAGGGAATAGGATGGGGTATAGAAGTAAAAAAGGGGAGGGATGGGGTAGGGGTATCAAAGTTAACAATGATGCTGCCTAGTGTGCGATACAGCTTGATATTGCACAATTAATACATAGTACACAATACATAATATATGATATGATACATGGGATACATTATACACGAGTCCTTACCCATTTACTTGACAATTGATGTACATTGTATAGTACGTGTGACATAACTCATCCTACATCTCATTGCTATGCATGTTTGGGTTTCTTTTACATGTGTCTAGCGTCATGTAACAGTTGAATATGATCTCATCTTGTTCTAGTGCTGTGCCCGGTTCTTACATAGTTACATACAATGATGCTGCCTAGTGTGCGATACAGCTTGATATTGCACAATTAATACATAGTACACAATACATAATATATGATATGATACATGGGATACATTATACACGAGTCCTTACCCATTTACTTGACAATTGATGTACATTGTATAGTACGTGTGACATAACTCATCCTACATCTCATTGCTATGCATGTTTGTGTTTCTTTTACATGTGTCTAGCGTCATGTAACAGTTGAATATGATCTCATCTTGTTCTAGTGCTGTGCCCGGTTCTTACATAGTTTCTGGGGGTGTTGGGCCTTTTGGAGTTCTGCCTTGGTCGGGTGAGGGGGGGGGGCATTTGGTAGATGTTTGTCCCAGTATGTTACCCCTGGTGTCCATGAGGTTAGGAGATTTGTCCTGTGTGCTGCTGTGCAAGTAGATAAGCGTTCGTGGGTATAGTATTGATTTATTTTTGCCAGTAGGTTGGGTTTGGAGGGGTACTGTGGTAGTTTCCAATGGTTTGCTATGAGATTTCTCACTGCTAGTGCTATGATTGCCATGACGCTTTTTACGTGCTTTGGCGTGGGTTTGGGGTACAGTAAAAATAGACCTATGTGCATATCAAGGGGTGGTATGGTGATGCCAATGGCTTGCAGTATATTTTGTGCGTCTTTCCATAGCGGGCGTATGTGTGGACACGTCCACCAAATGTGAGTCATCGTGCCACTGTCTATCCCGCACCTCCAGCAATGAGGGGAGACCGTTTTATATATTTTGTGGAGCCTCTGGGGTGTGAGGTACCACCTGTATACTAGTTTTTTGTGTGCTTCAACGTGGGAGTAGCATCTTGTGAGCCCCTTAAGTGCATTCAGAGAAGCTAGGATTTCTGTATCGGATGTCAATAGATCGCATTCTGACAGCCACTGTGTCACAAATGTTGGGGGTTGAGGTGGTGCTAATCGTAGAAGAGTTTTGTAACAGGAGGTAAGGGATTTGGGTTTGGTTGGGGCCTGCCAGCATCTACCGTATAGAGCTTCTAGGTCTGGTAAGTCAGAATTATCGGCTATAGGATTGTGTGCGACATGAGAAGGAATGATGCTTTTGAGTTGCATGTAGAGAAACACGGAAGAGTTAGGCAGGTGGAATTCTGTTTGTAGGTCTGGTAAGGGTTTGATGAGATTTAGGTGGAGGACTTGGTCGAGCGTGTTTATCCCCTGTTTGGCCCACGAGATCAGTGAGAGCCAGGGTGAGATCACTTTTAGGGCTGTCAGTAGGGAGCGTGGGTGGAATTTGTAGGTGGCATTTTGCTTGTGGCGTGTTGTGTCCCAGTGATGTAGGGTTAGTATGGTAGTGGGGAGGAGTGTTTTGTATTTGGGTCGTAGTGTCTTTGGCATCCAGAGTACATTTATTAACGATATGCTGGTGAGTTGGGCCATTTCCATGTCAACCCATTGGTATACCCCCCTCGGAGTGTGTAGTTTCACTGCCGCCTCTAAGTTGGCTGCTTTGTAATAGGTGTATATATCTGGCAAGCCAACTCCTCTATCCACTTGGTGATTTTGGAGGAAGCGTTGGGAGATTCTGGGCTTGCGGGTGTCCCATATGTAGGAGGACAGCACTTTTTGGAGTGATTTAAAAAACGTTAGTGGGACCCGTATATGCAGGAGGCGGAAAACGTACAATAGTTTAGGGATGAGGACCATTTTGACAGTGTTGATTCTGCCTAGCCATGATAGTTTAACTGGTTTCCAGAGTTGGCACTCTGATTTGCAAAGGTTTAGGAGTGGTTTATAGTTGTATTGGAATAATTGGTCAGTTGTGGGTGCAATTTTAACCCAGAGATAGGCGATTGTAATATGACCTCCAGTCGAAATCATATTTGCTTGTGAGTGTTTGAACAAAATCTTTAGGGAGACCTACAGGTAGTGCTTGTGTTTTTGTTTGGTTTAGTTTATAGTATGTTAGGTTGCCGTATTTTTCTAAGATTTGTATCAGGGTGGGTAGTGATGAGGGCACGTCTCTCAATGTCAAGAGAATGTCGTCTGCAAACATGGATAGTTTATGATCAGACCCGCCTATTCTAATCCATTTGATTTCAGGTTGGCGTCTAATTATGTGTGCTAGCGGTTCTTGAGAGAGGATGAAGAGTAATGGGGATAAGGGGCACCCCTGTCTAGTGCCATTGGTTATATTGAACGGGGTGGAGAGGAAGCCTGTGTTAGAGACTTGTGCTGTTGGGGTATTGTATAGGGCCATAATACCAGAAATTATTGGTGTCATAAAGCAGAACGTCCTTAAGACTTGTTGCATATAATCCCAATTGAGCCTGTCAAAAGCTTTCTCCGCATTGAGTGCTAAGAGAAGGCCCTGTCCTTTGGTGTTGTGATAAAATGTTCAGGATTTTCCTAGTGTTATCTGAGCCCTGTCTTGTTTTGACAAAGCCTGATTGGTCATTATGTATTAATGTGGGGAGAATATCAGACATCCTGTTAGCTAGGAGTTTCGCATATAGTTTGACATCTATGTTCAGTAGAGAGATTGGTCTAAAATTCTGGCATTGTGTTTGGGGTTTGCCTGGTTTTGGAAGAGTGGAGATGTGGGCTTTTAGCATTTCTGGGGGTAAGGCTCCCTGCGAATAGCAGTGATTAAAGAGTGTGGATAAGTGTGGAGATAGAATGGTGGAGAAGGAGAAAGTTGGTGTAGCTGTCTGGGCCTGGTGCTTTATGTTTGGGAAGTTGCCTGATTGTTGTTTCTAGTTCTTGGGTGGTGAATGGTGCGGTGAGGGAGCTTATAGCTTCCTGGGAGAGCTTGGGTAGGTCAGTTTGTGTTAAAAAGTCGAGAATGTCCTGTATAGATGGTTGAGTGATTGTGGGGTCTTCTTTGAGGTTATAGAGTTTGCTGTAGTAAGCAGCAAATGTGTCGACTATGTTTTGCGGGTTTGTGAGTTTCTGTTTTGTAGCTGTGGTTATATAAGCTATTCTTGAGTGGACCGTGCGCGCTTTGAGTCTTACTGCTAATAGAGCTCCTGCTCTGTTCCCTTGTGTAAAGAAATTGTGTTTATATCGTTGAAGCGTGTGGGTAGTTTTGGCTTGTTCTAGGTCCTTGAGTTTGGTTTGTAGTATGGACAACTCATGTCGTAATGTTTGTGTGGGGTTTGTCTTGTTTTTGTGTGTGAGGTCAGTGATTTTGGTAATTAGAGTGGTGTATTCTTTGAGTCTTTGTTTTTTAGCGTGGCTTCCCGCCTTAATCAGAAGGCCTCTTATTACTGTCTTGTGTGCCAGCCAGACGGTAGTCACGTTGACGTCAGGGGTTAAGTTTGTTTTGAAGTATTCAGTAAGGTCGACTTTTAGTTGGTTTACAATGTTAGGGTTTTGTAATAGGGAATCGTTCAGTCTCCATGTTCCCTTGCCTACAGTGGGGCCCTTTTCTGTGATGGTTAGAATTATTGGAGCATAGTCTGACCAAGTCACAAGACCTATATTTGTTGTCTGGACTGCCTGCATTAGTGTGGTTGGGATTAAGAATCTGTCGATTCTAGTGTATGCGTTGTGTGCTAAGGAGTGAAAGGTGTAATCTCTCTCTAGGGGATGGTGGACTCTCCAGGGATAGAGGTAGTTGTGTTGGAGGATTTGATTGCAGAGTAATGATGTGGTTTTGTGCGCTTTACTTGCGGAAGAATTGTCTAGTCTGGTGGTTGATGTGGAGTTTAGGGAGCAGTCGAGGAGGAAATTCGTATCTCCCCCAATAACAGTAGTTCCGAATTTATACGTGCTAGCTAGAGCGAAGATTTTATCTATAAATTCTATTTGGTTAGTGTGTGGACCATAGATGTTGATGAGCATGTATGGTTCATTGTTTATGTAACACTGGAGTATCAGGTACCTGCTGTTTTTGTCTCCCGTTTTTTTAATCAGTGAGAAGGCTACTACTTTTCCTATCAAAATGGAGACCCCTCATTTCTTCTTCTTGTAACATGAGTGAAAGTCGTTGGGGAATGCGTTGGAGCAAAATTTGGGGCGGTTGCCCCATTTGAAATGTGTTTCCTGGTAGAAGGCGATTTGGGCCTTATGTTTCTTTGCTTCCTCTAGTGCTAGTCTGCGCTTGTGTGGTGAGTTCAGGCCTTTAGTGTTCAGAGATAGAATATTAAGTGTCATGCGGGAGGGGATCGGCTGATGAGTCAATTAGTGGTGGGGAAGATGCCACCACTCGATGGGGATTGGCGCTCATGGTGCGTGGTGTGGTCTGATTCGTGGGTATCTCTCTGTGTGGTGTGTTCAGGATGGTCCGTGGGGTGGGTATAGCGTAGTCACCTTCTGGTGCTTGTCTTGGTCTAGTGTGTCCCATTTGGGGGTTGTATATTTGAGGGTATGTCATGGAGGGCATGCTGTTTAGAGTCTTAAAGGTAGCTATTATCAGCATACTGTGCGTTTGCTGTGCAGAGACAGAAGGATGCATCCATTGTCCGGTGGGGAGGGAGTAAGGGGGAAGGAAGTAGAAACATACCAAATGGTAAAACATATAAGCATTAAAAACTATGTACAAAAAAATGTCGATTGGGGTGCCCTGGGGCATAGACGGTGTCGAAAGAGCTCAGGTGAGCCTGGTGGGGTGGTGTGGGTTGACAGATCTAACAACC